TCTCTCTCTCTCCCTCCCTCCCTCCCCCTTGCCCTCTCTCTGTCTCTCTCTCTCTGCTGACATTCAAAAATCCAGTGGATGATGTTTATCGTGGCATGGAAAGCATCAGGAGACATTCCGGGGAGGAAAAATGTGGTAGAAATCCTACCAATTGAAAGCATTTCATATCTAGCTTTTATGAAATGATTTTTAGAGCAAGAAAAAAATCAATTCATACTAGAATAGAACAGAACAGAATAGAGCTGGAAGGGACCTTGGAGGTCTTTTAGTCCAGCCCCCTGCTCAAGCAGGAGGACCTATACCATCTCAGACAATTGACTGTCTAGCCTCTTCTTAAAAATCTCCAGTGATGGAGCGCCCATGATTTCTGAAGGCAAGCTGTTCCACTGGTTAATTGTCCTCACTGTCAGGAAGTTTCTCCTTAATTCCAGGTAGCTTCTCTCTTTGATCAGTTTCTAACCATTGTTTCTTGTCCTGCCCTCTGGTGCTTTGGTGAATAACGTGGTGGCAGCCTCTCAAATATTGGAATACTGCTATCATGTCTCCCCTATTTCTTCTTTTCTTTAGACTAGCCAAACCCAAGTACTACAGCCGTTCTTCGTATGTTTTAGTCTCCAGGAATTTAATCATCTTAGTTGCTCTTATCTGAATTTTTTCCAAACTCTCAACATCTTTTTTGTGACATGGTGACCAAAATTGGCTGCAGTATTCCATGTGTGGTCTTACTAGGGTTTTATAAAGTGGTACTACTACTTTAGGTGATCTTGATTCTATGCCTCTATGCCTACTCCTGTAGCCCATCAAAACTTTATTATTCTTTTGTATTCAAAGATGCAAACTCCAGACTTTTCTTCACATACATCTGACTGAGACACAAAGATGCCCTGTTTTTGGGGCCATTTCCCTCTGATGTTGCCTTCCTGTCATGTCCAATTCATGAATGAGATAGACTTAAATTATTCTTAGCTGTACTGGTTTTTCCCTCATAAGCCAAGAGCATCTAAAAACCAAGAACATCCAAAAGCAGCCATCAAATGTGCAAAATCTGCTATATATATCCAGGATAAAGTCAGGTGGCAAATAGTGGCTGGGATCAGAATGGGACTGTTTCAGACTGATAATGGACATGCTCCTTTTCCTCTTATGTGCCCTCCTTAACATTCTGCAGGACATCATTACACTGCGGTTCTTTCAGATCTGCAGAACTCCACTTGACTGCCCAGCCAGGATTAAGGTGATCACTTAGTTTAGCATAACTCTTCTCCTCATTCCCTTCTTAAGAGAGCATGGTAAACTCTGGAATAGCAGTTGTTGCCCATATACATGTAATGCCACTCCTGAAAGGGCTGCTAGAGTCTGGATCCCTCTGTCCTTTCCCCAAGACAATTAGGTCTTCCCTGCTCCCAATTGCTGGCCCGACGTCTCAAGGTCTCTTGCTCTGTCTCTCGCCCTGGCCGTTAGCCCACTCTGGTTGCTCACCTAGGCAGCTCCACTCGCCCGGCTGAGTTCACTTCCATTGTCCTTCAGTGCATCTAGCACCTCTTCTGTTCATTGGCTCACCCACTCATCTGGATCAGCTCATTTCTGCTGTCGTTTGGTGCATCTGGCACCCTCTCTGTTCACTGGGTCACTCACTTGCCTGGTGTATCTGGTGCTCCCTCTAGGCACTGGTTCAGCCATTTCCCTGGTGGCTTCTCTCTCTCCCTCTCCCTCCCTCCCTCCCTCCCTCCCTTTCCCCCTCCCCCCTCTCTTGCCCCATTGCCTCCTGTGCAGCCCCACCAAGCAAGGACCGTGGGGTGGGGTGGTGGCTGGTCCCCTCTTTCTCCTTATGTTTACTTTGCATCCGCCTTTGTTTGCCTCCTGCCATTTCTCCATTTGCCTCCCCCCCCCCTCTCTCTCTGTCTCCCTTTCTTTTCTACCTCTCTCTTCCTTTGTTCCCCCTTTGTGCCACATGCCTGTTCCTTTTATATCCTCTTCCCCTGGGCCATCCCTTCCCCCCTAATTTCTGTCAGGTTGTCTGCCCAGCGACATCCGCTGGCTGAGCATGGCTCTCTGCAACAGTCCCAAGTCCTGCCACACTGAGTGCAGCCCAGCCGGGCAATCACCCAGGTGCCTGCTGTGATAGAGGCTGCCAATCCGCTGGGCTCTCCTGCCTCTCCCTTGCCCCAATTGGATCCCCCTGAGATCCCTCTGGAAGTGGTGCAAGGTGGACACCCTGGGACACCCGCAGCCAAGCTGCTCAGCTGATTAGCACTACACCCCATTGTCGGCTGTCCCCACTACACACAATCCCTGCTACACAAAGAAAGGAAGAAAATTCCTAAGTAAAGGAGCTGCTTCTAACACAGCTTCCTTTCTATTTATTTTTTACTTTGTTCAGTTTGAGTTAGGAAAGAATGGGGCATAAGAGAAAGACATAGGAAGGAACTGCCAGACCTGCCCCTTTCTTGTTGTAACTCTACAAATGACAAAAGTTTTTTTTTATTTCCTGGCTGATGACAAGTAAAAGAGGGCAGTAAAACGAGGAACTGACCGAATGGCTTGATTATCACACTATAATAATAATAATAATAATAATAATAATAATAATAATAATAATAATAATTTATTATTATTATTATTATTATTATTATTATTATTATTTCAACCTTCCCTGGAACCTCCAGTAGATCAGGTTGGGGGACGAGTCCGTCCTTTGGGATATGGTAAAGTCTGTTTACCGAGAGGTCAGAGAAGAATTTTTGAAGGTCACAAGGAGCATTCACCGCTTCTGGAGGCAGGTTGTTCCACTGGTTAATTGTTCTAACTGTCAGGAAATTTCTCTTTAGTTCTAGGTTGCTTCTCTCTTTGGTTAGTTTCCATCCGTTGCTTCTTGTCCTGCCTTCAGGTGCTTTGGAGAATAGCTTGACTCCCTCTTCTTTGTGGCAGCCCCTGAGATATTGGAATACTGCTATCATGTCCCCCCTCGTCCTTCTCCTCATTAAACTAGACATACCCAATTCCAGCAACCGTTCCTTATATGCTTTAGCCTCCAGTCCCCTAATCATCTTTGTTGCTCTTCTCTGTACTCTTTCTAGAGTTTCAACATCTTTTTTACATTGTGGTGACCAAAACTGGATGCAGTATTCCAAGTGTGGCCTTACCAAGTACTGTACCATCCAAAACTAGGACAGTGCCATGTAGCAGTGACTTAGAACAGATGCATTACTGAAGAAGCAGGATAGAGTTTGGCAGTGTGGGTAGAGAATTGCACAACAGTAGAGGCTGAAGTAAATAGCACTTGAATTCAGCCATGAGGAAAGACCTTTGGAAGTTCTAATATTCACCATCCTTCTGAGCAAAGTTCTGCTCCTTGTTACCTTAGGTCTACTTCATTCCAAAAATATATTTTAGGCCAGTCAGTTTTCCCAATTTGGTACCTTCTAGATTTCTCAATCCAATTGTAGTCCTAAATGCATCTGAAGGGTTGCAGGCTGGAGGAATGTGATAGCATTGAAATGCTGCTATTCGGCAAGTGGGAATCAGAAATCTGAGCTATAGACTATGCAAAATATGTCATGCACTTGTGCTTATGTTATCTCATAATCATTCATAGTCCTGCACTAAGACGGGACTTACTCTTATACAACAAGGAGTGGATTGCTAAAGAACCACTTTGGTATTTGAACCAGAGACACCCCAAGAACACCACCCACGATGAGGAAGATACAGGATTTTGATCACTAAATAATTTTTTCTCCTTTTTGACTAAAAAAGCTCTGCTAAAATAAGTGACAGTTAAGCTTGATTTTAGCTTGTCCAAAACAGTGTAGCCATTGACGCATAAGGGGTTGAGAGGAAGAGTAGTTGCAAATGCAGACTTCCTAAATCTCAGTTACATGTTGTATGAAGATGCATGTCCTGCATGGTGATTGGTTGATCCAGCTTCTTGTTGATACTTTGTTGTTTGAGTGTCCCCAAATGTAAATGCAACAACTATTCAACTTTCTGAATTACAGACATATACATTACCTGACATGAGCCTTTACCTCTTGCTTGCCACTGGGATTTCCTGTTTAAATTGATCTCCCCATGATTTAGTTGAAGAGAGAATGGGGAGGAAGAGAGTGATCATATTTCTCTTTCTCCCTTTTTTCTCATCAACATGTAAAGTTCTCCCATCATCACTGCCACTGGGGCTACTTTGAAACTTAGATAATTTCAAAGACAGTCATGGTGTTATCCATGTGAAATGTTACGACTGAATAGATATTTCAGATCTCAGAATTTTAATTTGCCTTAGGACCACAATCCCCACAAAGTCTGGAATGTTGTGAAACTCCTGAAGGGTGGATTATGTCTACCAGTGGCTCAGGTTGTTGCTGAAGATCCACCAAAGTGGGTTTGTGAAGAGTATCTCATACCTTGGGTCTCACTGGATGCCCAGGAAGTCTCTTAACTTGGAATTGTCCTTGTGAGCTTCTTCAAACCCATAATTCGGTTCTCAGAGAGAAAATGACATAAGGGGACAATGAGACCAAGGTCAGAAGCCCACCTCTACCGAGATATCTCTGTTATCTCTTCTGTCCCTTCTGATATATCTTGAAGCCCCATTCTGTATGGAATATGCAGTTCAACATCAAATAATCCATCTACAACTGGTCAGATAATCCATCTATAAACTGGTCCAAGTGCAGGAAGTGGGGCAAAATAGCTATAATGGTTTTTTTTCCATCTAGTTAGGAATCACTGGTAGAAGAAGTCTCAAATGTATTTTTGCATGCTGTATGTGCCTGTTTAATAACTGCTTTCCTTTTAATTCCTGCCTGTACATTATTTTCTGTGTTAAACTAAAAGTGAAAATGTGTTCCCTCCATAGCCTAATCCTCATTTGTTCCTTTAATTTCCAGCAAGCAACATTGTTTTCATGTCTACCAAAGCTGTTTTAGTGGATTTTGGACTTAGTGTTCAAATGACAGAAGATGTTTACTATCCCAAAGAACTTCGAGGAACAGAGGTAATGATTCTCCGTGAGAAGATAGCCTTATCGCTGCCCCCTCTGTATCATAGTAATTGCAGAAGAATGAGATGGAACCCTGGATAATGTAAATGTTGGCATGGAGTTCCCCTTCTTCTCTGTCCATTTTCTCCAGTTTATTATGCATTAGTAAAATAACCACCATAGTGTGGTTTAACAGCTTTGACATATCATTTAGAATTTATCAAGATTGACATTAGCTAAACATTCTTGTTGGATAGAATTGCGCCAGCATTCTTTTGTCTAATGGTAAAGGGAAACTAGTGAAACACTACAGAAGAGTGTTTCAGATCTAGACAGGTTCAAACAGAAGCAAGCCGCCCTACACATTTGGTCATTATTATCAATATAAATCTTTATTAAATCTTAAATGGGATAGTCTATTATGATTTCTTGCCCTTTGTTAGTTGTTCACCATGCATCACTGCATCAAAATTGACAGCCAAATTTGGCACCAACAATTCTCCTATTTCTCTGAGCAAATGCTCAAAGTTTGCATGGCTTTTAAGTGAGATCAGCAAAAAAGGCAAAGATTTTTTTTTTAAACCTTCTAGGTCAAATTGCTTGGCTTTAAAGGTGATTCCAGGGTACAGTTGTCACAGAAGCTAATTTTCTTTTGGATTTTATTTGCAGATCTACATGAGTCCAGAAGTGATTCTCTGCCGAGGCCACAATACAAAAGCTGACATCTACAGCCTAGGAGCAACCATCATCCATATGCAAACCGGCATTCCACCATGGGTCAGTCGATATCCTCGTGCAGCCTATCCCTCCTATCTCTACATAGTAAGTTTATTTAATTGATTGTCCAATAAATATTCAGCAGCCAGTTGGCATCCTCTTTCTATAGACTTTATAGTAGTGCAGACTGGGAGTTGAAGTCCACTCATTTTAAACTTAGCAAGGTTGAAAAACACTGGGTTAGATAATTGGGTAAAACCTTTTGGTTTTGTAAACGTGATGAGGTTTTTAAAAATGGAACTGTGTTGATTTGCTCTCAGTGTCATGCAGGGTGTGTTTAGCAGCAGAACTGGAAGAAGATTATAGTATGGTAGGATTTGTTGAAAATCTAGGGTATATTTGGGAAATCTACTTTCTTTTCCAGCATTAGAGTTTTGCATTCATTAACCCTAACCCCAAACAAAATACGAGGAAACATGAGTTGGCAACTACATTGCTTATTGTTTATTATAAGCTTATTACCTCTGAACAGGCTTAGACAATAATGTATGATAAATAACATACAATAATCATCATATTATCAATATTTTAAGTATACCAAATAGTAACTGCAGTTAATCTAAATCATGTGCCAATCATTGAAATACAGTGCCTTATAATACAAATCAACTGATAGGTTCATGCCAAGCTCTGGGGTACAGGTGATCCTCAATTTCTGACTGGCTGTTTAGCAACAGTTCAAGGTTAAAATGGACCTGCCAAGGGCTGCTCATCACATGATTGTTTTTCAGTGATCAGCCCGCATTTATAGACTGTTTGGTTCTATGACTATGATTAATTACCTTTTTTGCTAGAAACAAAAAACACTTAATTGGGATAATGGATTTGCCTAAAAATATCATGTTCATGTTACAACCACTGCAAGAAATTGGGCGCAGTCACATGGTGATCTGCTTAAAAACTAGAACAACTTACAAATATAATTCTGGATTCAATCGCAGTCATATGTCAAGGTCTACTTGTCTCTCTCATTCTAATCTCAGTTCACAAGGGCACATTGGAAAAGCCATGCTTTTGCTTCTGTGTACCACATATGCACCCAGTGCATCCTGGTGCTGCTGGTGCCGCTGCCATGAGGAGCGTCCTGTTGGTATTGCCACTGCCACGAGGTGCATGCCGCGACACACCTCATGGCTGCGGCAACAGCAGGACGTACCTCATAGCGGTGGCAGCAACAGCGGGACGCACCTCACAGCAGTGTGATGCATCTTGCAATGGTGGCAACAACAGCAGGACACGCCTCACAGCGGCAGCAACAGCAGCAGGACGCACCTTGCGGTGGCGGCAATGGCAGCGGAACACACCTTGTGGCAGCAGCAGCAGCCCTGTGGCATGGTAAGCGAGTGTAGGGTGCGTGGGGCAGTCCCCCCTCCCCCCACCAGCTCCCCACTTCCCCCCCACCTTGCCTCACCTCATGTCTTAGCAAATAAGTAGTGCTTATTTTGGGGGTAGGGCTTATATAAGGCCCACCCCAAAATATCAGGCTAGGGCTTATTATTGGGGTAGATCTTATTTTCAGGGAAACACGGTAAGTACCCATCCTGTTTCTTTAAACAAGGATTCTAATCCGTGCTTCTGCGTGCAGTATATTCATGCTTATCATCCTCTATTCCCATAGATATCTAAAGAATGCTTTTCTTGGCGGGATGTGTTTGTATGCATATGTATGTGTGCATTTGGGTGTGGTGGAAAGGATTGTTGCTTTGGGTTTCTTTAAATATGCAAGGAGTCAAACTTGGAGGCTTCCAAAATTCCTTCCAAATGTGTGATTACCCACTAGTCCAACCCTGGGGAAGAGACAACTTCAGTTGTCAAGTAGCACAGGAAAAAGGATTAAGCAGTTGCCTCTCAGTAGCACCACTACAATCTAAATTTCTGTGAAGAACCTTCCCCAACTGGCTGATTGGGAACTCCCATGTTTCCATTGTATTAGAGATAATCATAGCTATTCTGCTGTATTCAATCCAGACAACTGAGATGGTGGTCCCATAATTATGTACCAAGCAGCATAGAGGTAACACTCACATTCACAGAAAACTAAGGTCAGAGGGGAGGTTTTTGGTATTTGGGTTGGGAAAAAATAGAAGTATACTTAGTCCTATGAGGTTTGACTACTGGAATATAGTGAAAACAAAACATTGTGGATATGAATCTATGAAGGAAGCTAGGATGCTGCTGTGATACCTCTCAGGCCTTTTGCATTCCCATTGTGTAAAACTTCACAAACCTCCACAGGATTGTGGATATGGGAACAATTTGGAGAATGAAGATGTTTTGTTGATCTGCGTAGGAGGGAGATAAAAACTACAAGCGAAAGATGAATTTTAAAAAAGCAGCTCTGAGCAATTCAGCTTACTTGTCTCTCTACAGAATCTAAACTTGACCAGCCAGAGCTATAAAATTCATCAGTACTGTTTTGAATGTAATGAAAATTGGTCCAAAGCTTAGTTGATTAAAATTAGGCAGAATTATACGATCAGAAATAGAATATTAAAAATATATTCAATATTCCTATATAGACTCCTTTCACATATACAAGCCCCGCCTGACTTTGAAACCAATTTAAGTATTTCCAGATGCAAAGCTGGCAAATTATGCCTTGGGAGGTTGTGCTTTGTTCCTATTTGGGGGGCAGGTTTTAATGTGAAGCTAGCTCTGCTTCCAGAATTCCTCTGGCTTTTTGTCTCAGGAGTAGAATGGCAATTTTCCAATCTGTGAATCAGAGAAAGGAAATTCCTAGAGCAGTAACTTTACAGCACGCAACTCTAGGGAACTCTTTCCTGCCTCCTCTTAAGCACCAAGTTACAATCTTCCTTTTTTAAACATTCTTTTGATAGATCCATAAACAGGCTCCGCCACTTGAGGACATTGCTGAGGATTGCAGTGCTTCTATGAGACAATTATTGGAAGTTGCTCTTGAAAGGAACCCCAACCAGAGACTTTCTGCTACAGAATTGCTCAAACATGAAGCCTTGCACCCATCGCGGGAGGAACAGCCTCGGTGTCAGAGTTTGGACTCAGCTCTTTTTGCACGAAAGAAGTTGCTGGAGAAGAATGAGTCGGAACTCTCTGAGAATATTTCAGGTACGGTCTGCTCTTATCTCCAGTTGCTTCCAGACAACTTCGGTCCTTATAGCAAAGACCCACGCACTTCCCTAGTCTCTTAATAAAAGTCTGAGGGCCAGCAAGACCAATATTTATGTGCAACACAGAATCCTTCTTAATTGAAAAGGCTTTAGATGAAGTGTGTCATTCCGCAAAATCAGTTCACATTGGCAACTAGGAATCTCAAGTATTTTGGAGCTTTCAAAATTGTGTAATCTAAGTGGTCCTCAGGTTACTATCACTCATTCAGCAATCATTCAAACTTTCCACAGGACTGAATGACGGGAACTTATATTGGGTCCTCAGAATTCTGGTCATTGCAATGTTCCTGCAGTCATATGCTTACAATCCTAATACTTGGATTGCCATTATAACCCAAGGACTATCTATAATGTTCTGCAGAATATGGAATATTAGATTATTTTCTAAAAAAGGTTAATAGTAGTAACTGCTCAATAGTAGTAATTGTGAGAGGGACCTCGGTGTCCTAGTGGACAATCACCTAAATATGAACCAGCAGTGTGCTGCAGTTGCCAAAAAGGCCAACACAGTGCTAGGCTGCATTAACAGAGGGATAGAATCAAGATCATGTGAAGTGTTAATACCACTTTACAATGCCTTGGTAAGGCCACACTTGGGATACTGCATCCAGTTTTGGTCACCACGATGTAAAAAAGATGTTGAGACTCTAGAAAGAGTACAGAGAAGAGCAACAAAGATGATTAGGGGACTGGAGGCTAAAGCATATAAGGAAAGGCTGCTGGAACTGGGTATGTCTAGTTTAATGAAGAGAAGGACGAGGGGGGACATGATAGCAGTGTTCCAATATCTCAGGGGCTGCCACAAAGAAGAGGGAGTCAAGCTATTTTCCAAGGCGCCTGAAGGCAGGACAAGAAGTAACAGGTGGAAACTAAGCAAGGAGAGAAGCAACCTAGAGCTAAGGAGAAACTTCCTGACAGTTAGAACAATTAACCATGGAACAACCTGCCTCCAGAAGCGGTGAATGCTCCAACACTGGAAGTTTTTAAGAAGAGACTGGAGAGCCATTTGTCTGAAATGGTATAGGGTTTCCTGCCTGAGCAGGGGGTTGGACTAGATGACCTCCAAGGTCCCTTCCAACTTTACTACTACTACTACTACTACTATTATTATTATTATTATTATTATAAATCATAATAGAAGACAAACTTGAGTGCAGTTGGTTGCTGTATCTGTCTTCTTCATTTTCCTAGAACTTCATTATTTTTGTCAATAATGTCTTAACAGTGCAGTCAGAAGTAAATTTCATAGTTCATCAGGTTACTTTTCTCCTAGCCAATGTAAGGTCAATATGGTTTTTATTTAATAATTGTGGACTTCATTCCTGATTTTGTTGTATTCGTTTGTCAAATAATTCCTGTTCTAACAGAGCTAAGACAAATCTGTATCCGCTCATATAAAGCTCTATTTTATATTTGATATAAAACTTCATTAGAAACGTGCTCATCCCTAATTGGTTTACAAAATTAACTATTTCTCATGCTCATTATACATTTAGTGGATGCCAAGGAGGGATTTAATGAAGAACACTTTAAGGCTTGCTAAAGGAACAAACATCTATTTAGTTGATGATAATATTTAGCTAACAAGAGTAAAACTTTATCTTCCCTTTGAAGTTATCTTAATTGGGAGCCATCATTATGTATACAGTTCCTCTACTTATTTATATAGGAAAGAGGGGAATTCATAAACCATAGAATCACAGAACTGTGGAATTGGGAGGGACCACAAAATTAGTCCAATTCTTTGCAATGTGGAGGAAAACCAATTAATGCATCCTGAAACGGTAATTGACCAATCTCCAGAGATGGAGAACCCCCAGTCTACATAGTTAATTGTTCTGAAACTACTTTTCTAGTGTATAATATATTTTTTTCTTTAATTTTTCCTTGTTAGATTCTTCAAGTCTTCGAATTACTGAGGAATCGGATTTGCTCAGGAGACAACGTTCATTATATATAGACCTTGGAGCATTAGCTGGCTACTTTAATATTGTCCGGGGACCAACAGCATTAGATTATGACTAGATTTGAGGATCTCTCATGTGTAACTGAACAGGAATAGTATATATAGAGAGATAGGAGAGAGAGAAAAGCTTTAATTGGCTGTGCTTGGATTCTTTGAACACTTAACAATGTTTAATGAATGTACTGGATGAATTCCGTTGCTACTTCTAATCACTTCCACATCCCAGTGCTCTGGTAATTGATTTTTAATACAGTTACACTGATTGGTTTGCTTTGGTTATGACTGAAATAATCATCTCCTTTTTAAATAATATTTTGAGACTTTTTTTTGTCATACTTCCTAGTTTTCAGTGCTGTTGCAATGACCTCCTTTTTTCAGACTGAGGGTGTGGCAAATTTAAGAATTCTGTATATAAGCTAAGAACATTTCCAAGAGAACATGACTGAATTCAACGTCACTTAGTTTCCTAATTAATATGTATTGTTTAATTCATGTATATCTACTGGTTTTGAGGAAGAAAACCCCTATTGCTTCTTGCACCTCCTGTTTAAATTTTTATTTATCAAGCTGCTAGACAGAGAATTGTCAAAATGCCTGTTCCCGGTGCTGGCTGCAAATATTTTCCATCAAAATAGTTCTTTGGCATGAATGGGAACTATGCCAGTTCTTGAGATAAACTCTGTCATGTGAATGTAAATTACACAAAGACTTAGTAACTGTAATCATAGGCTATTTGAATGTTAATACATTGTATGATGACTCATGAGGGTGAGCTTAATTTAATCTAAGAACTATGTGTTAAAAATAGACATGTAGTTAGGTGTTATGATTGTTTTATTTCCTATGGGAAGAATACCTCCTTTTGTTTTTGAAGATTTGAGTGCATTTAAAACAGTGTTTTGAATGATAGTAAAACTAGTTCAAGAACAAAGCTTTGTACATCCTGTGGGATGAATACATCAACTTTTATAAAACAGTTTAGTAGTTTATTAAGCTATTTTTTTAAGAGGCATACTATGTATGTTATAAACAGAGTGGTTAACAACATCATAGTTTAGATTTTTTATTTAAATGTCTTTGTATGGAGGGATTTGTATCAATTTCTTGAAGTCCTAATTCCTGAATCAGTTATTGTAAAAAATAATAAATTTATGTTAAACATATTTACTGTTTTGGGATGAAAGTGATATGAAATTATTAGTTTGTTTTGTTCCATTTCTCTTTTGTTGTTAAGCATGTTTATTTCAAAGCTGTTGGGAGGGCAAATTTTCAGAGACTGCTACTTAACTTCTGGGTTTTCTGGAGAATCACGGAAGCTTCTTGTGACAAAAAGGGTGGTCAAGTTCTGTCTTCTACATCTGTCTGTCTGTCTATCATCTATCTATCTATCATCCACATAATCTACATCTCAATGCAATTATATGACTCTTGGCAGTTCACAATAATAAAGCAGAATAATCAAACCAAAATATCACAATATACATTAAAGCAATATATAAAGCAATACACAGAAGTCTTAAAAAGCTCTGTTTTTCAGGAAAGCTAATATGTTGGAGAAAAGTGGACCACTACAGAAAATCAATGCTTTTGGCTTTAGGCCACCTAATTCCCTCCAAATGAGAACATCCTCCTGTTTTCCCCACCACAGTATTAATCTAGTTGGCAGTCATGAGGATGGGAGCCATTTGAGTCCAATTCTCCCTTCACAAGTAAGATCACAAGCTGATATTGAGTAAAGGCCCCTTGTCTACAGCACAACTCACATGGCCAACTCACAGCGGCCAACAGGACAACTTGTTGCAGGACAAGAATTACACTAGCATCAAAGAAGTGGTGGAATAGAATCATTAAAGAAAGAATGCCAAAGGAGGGACAAAATGAAATCTGAATAACAAAAATTAAAATAATGTTTAATTATTTTAAATAAATTTAATTATTAAATTGTCCAGCAGCAAGTTGGCCATGGTGAGTTGGCCATAGTGAGTTGTCCCACTCCGTGCGCGTGCGCACACGCACCACACAGAGAGACATGTCTGAAGTTAAGAATGACAAAGATCCAAGATCAAAGACAATCTAGCAAGTCATAGCCACTTCTTTGGAAGTAACAGGTCAAAAGGAAGTCCAGATAAATTGGCAAGAGAATCACTCTATAAGACTCGACTCAAGTGAAGTTTAAATTAGGCATTACTTAATTGGTTCTAAATTAAATTTATAGACTGCCTATCTCATAGAAACTCTGGGTGGCATTTGTGAATAAATGTAATTGTAAATTATCTGAAAATATTTGTGTCATGAAATTCATATCTGAGTAGAGGTTTGTAATCATAGTACATATTAGATTTTTCATTCACATTTTTTAAAAACGTGCTTAAATCCGTCACTCATATTCTGAAAGAAACATGGCACTCAGGTCACAATTTAGAGTGGTGTGGTGTGGTTCTGGTGTGAATTCCTACAATGACCATATTCCTACTTCAAACTGGAATCCAGCATTTTTGTGGCAAAGGACAGCTGGAATAAGGTGGAGGACTAGTTACAGTATGTCCACTGTATAGATATACAATTTGGTTCTATACAAATAAACATTTAGGAACAATTACTATCATTTAAATAGAAATATAATACCTATCATCAAAGGGAAAGGGAGCGACAATGCCTTGCATGCATAGTTAAATTATATATTTTACTGCCATCAAACTTGATGTCACCAATTTAGTGGATTTAAAAAAGAACTAGAGACTTATCGGTAGCTACTAGTTTTGATAGCTGTATGGTACTGCCTGAATATAAAATCAAACTATTGAAGAGCATCAGTACAAGACGATTATCATTCTCATATTTGGCTTGTACAGTTTCTTAATATATTAAATTGTCTTTTATTTGATGCAAAGTGTCTTATTAGATGAGCCTTTGGCCTGATCCAGAAGACACACAGGGAAGACCTCTGGTTCTTCAAAGGTGCAAAATCAGAATAAAAAGTACTGGGTAGATAGATCAATCAATCATACCTGAGATAATGTTTTGCCCTTTCTTAATTGAATATGGATCAGGCCATGATAAAATCAAGGCTTTATGGATCAGAACATTATGAAACCAAGCAATTGATGAAAGCTTTACTGTAGAGTGCATTATTATGAACTCTTCTATGTTACCCTGTGGCGGTACATTTACCAGGAAGGCAATGTGCTGGAAATTAGCTGTGCTTTTATAATATTTGATTTGTTATACATAAATAGGGCAGAGGCAAGTGGTAGGTCTGAAGCCTCTTCTAGCAGGGGATACACTCCAAATGAGTCAAGATATATAACTCCTAATATTCTCAATTGGTCAAAATTCCTAGACTAGGAAAAGCTGTTTTATAATATTTAGCTAGCTCTCAACATCTCTATGCCAATTCTTCAACACTCATACCTTAGAATCCCTCTTAAATGGGATAATATAACAGTAAAGGCTGTGTCACCTTCTCCAACAGGTATTCCTCATCCAAAGGGCGTAGGTAGGTAGGTAGGTAGGTAGGTAGGTAGGTAGGTAGATAGATAGATAGATAGATAGATAGATAGATAGATAGATAGATAGATAGATAGATAGATAGATAGATAGATAGATAGATAGATAGATAGTCTACTCTCTTGCTATATATGTTTGGCTTACTCTATATGTGTAGGACATTCCAAGAGTGGCTTGCTAATTTCCTCCCACATACAGAGAGCCAAGAATCCTGTGGCACAATGAAGATTAACAAATGTTGTTGACTACATTATCAGATCCATGAACTATTCTGAGAAACAAGTATATATCTCTAATTGGATGACTGGATACCGATGAAATAAATTGCAGTCTATGAAAGCATGTGACAAATTACTTAGTTAACATTTAAAGTACAGAGTTTTTTTTTAACAACAATAGACCTTCCTGGATAATAAAACAAACTTGGGAGTCACATGTATATCTTTCAATGCAACTTTCAACAAGCAGTGCTCTAGTTTAGATGGTAGGATTTGTTGAAAATGTCATATTGAAGTGTGGAATGGAATAATTTCCATCAGTCAACTTGCCATGGCCAACTAGCCATGGTCACCTCGCCACAGCCAATTCGCTGTGGCCAACCCATCACAGCCAACTCAGGACAATTCAGCATGGCCAACTTGCCATGGGATAACTCTCTGTGACATAATTCAACAATTCAATTTAATCATTTAAAATCTTTTTAAAAATATTTTAATTTTCATCATTCACATTTCATTTTGTCCCTCCTTTGGCATTCTTTCTTTAATGATTCTATTTCACTATGTCTTCAATACCGGTATTAGTGTAACTCGTGTCCCATGGCAAGTTGTCCCGTGATGAGTTGACCACGGCAAATTGGCCACAATGAGGTGGCCATGGCAAGTTGGCCATGTAACTGACTTTAATCTCAATATAAAATCAACTGGGAAACTGTGAGCATCTTAGACCAAGCTAAGTCCCAAAACAGTACAGAATTCCTGGAAGCCTGTCACTCAGACAAATCAAACAGGCACATAGAGATAAGCAACATCTACATACAATTCAAAGACACAATAAAAAAGTTAAAAAGGAAACAAAAGACAGTTCAATCAAGGGTCTAACATCAACAAGTCACTAGTATATAAACAGAGAGCCAACCCCACTTTCTTCTAGTATTGATGATGTTACCTAGTTGGGTAATTAAGTGTCTGTTTATTTATTTACCTATTTTTTTAAAAAAAAAAATACAGGTAGTCCTGTAAAGTTAAAGTTTCTCAAAAGCTGGTTATGACTAAGTTCCGAAGTTACAATGTCTATGCCCCTTAGAGCTATTTGCAGCACTCTGCTGTCATGTGACTGGGATTTCTCTGGAAATCAGCATTTTCTTCTGGTTTCCAAAAAATCCCCACCCAATGGATTTGTTTAACAACTGCCACATTTGCTTTATGACCACCATATTTGCTTAACAACAATAAATAAGGTTATAAAATTGGGTTTGATCACATAATGACCAGCTTTATGACAGTCGCATTTTATGACCATAATGGACAGGCTCAATTGCAGTTGTAAGTCAAGGACTACCCTTATTCCCATAGATTTTTGCATGTTCAGACTTTGCATCAATCCTTCTTTACAAATTCCTTTGGCTAGCAGGAAGGATTTGCCTACCAAATTCGTAAAATGCAACAATATGAAATGCTTTTTCTTGTGATTATTCCAGAATATTGCTCTTGAGCTTGAGAAGATCCTGAGATAGGTTATTTTTATATCACCCAGTTGTGCAAACAGCCTTCAGCTTCAGAGCAGATGGCCAGCTGAGTATGTAAAGGAAGTGTGGCAATGTTGCTGAACACATGGCCAGTGAATCTTAAGTGGAATCTGCACATGGCGGTGTTGACCTGTAGTTACTTTAGTGCTTGCCTGGGCCCCAGTTTCTCTTCCATCTTTCTCATCTCAAAAGATGAGATGAGAATTTAGAAATAGTGGAGCAACCTCTGCCTCCATGGGACAAGACAAAGAAAACCATTATTATATACTAGACTAATTAAAGGTCTTTCTTAACCTGCTACTCCCTTGACTAACTGAGCGCCTCTGCCTTAACAAAGGAACCTGTATTCCTGTATAAGAGGTATTTTGATTTTTTGGTCCTTTCAAGGGAATATATCCTCTGGGATAGGGAGAGATTTCTTCTGCAGAGGACTGTTCTTTTATAAAATAATCACAATTCCTTATGATTTGAGGACACCGAGCCTAGCCAAGAATGATCCAGCATAACTTCACAGCCTGGTTTATTGGAAGCTGATTCAACAAGGAGCCTAACGAAGGATTTCAGGAACTCATAGCTCAGCCCCCAATTCCCTGGAGTGGCAAATTATGGGGACTATAGTAAACAGACCTAATACCATCATGTTTGCTACCATAATCATGTTCATAATATTGGCATGCACATTGCTTGTCCCAGCAGCCTCTTCTCCTTCTTTTAATGTGTTTAGCAAGAAGAGTGGAAGGAAACCCAAGAACATTCCCATATTTATGGGGTGACACCCCCCCCTCTTTATTTCCCCTGCATTTTGAACAGCCGTTTTGGTGCTTCTAAAAGGTGACTGTTCTGAATGTTTCTTGATGATAGTCATTCTTA